GCCGGAGGCCCAGAGGCAAAACAATCTCATCTCTAAAGTGGGCATTTCTCCAAAGACGAGGTACAAATATGACCGTGATGCACATGAGAAGATTTTCAACACTACTGGTTTGCAAGAAAATGCAAATCAAAACCACAGTGGGAGCTGGGTGAGGTGGTGCACACCTTCAATCCCAGCACTAGGAGGCAGAGCAAGGCGGCTCTGAGTTCCAGGCCAGCCTGGTCTACATGCCCTGTCTCAAAACAAAGCACAGTACGCTATCAATCCCACCTTTCACGATGCTTACTATTAAAAAAAAAAAAAGGCATAAAAGAGACGAGAAACTGGAGCCCTTACACAGTATCTACTGATGTAAAACACAGGGACAACTAACTAAACATTGTGCATGGGTACACACACACACACACACACACACACACACACAGACAGACACACACACACACACACACACACCCCCAGTGCTTTTATGTCCATCTCCTACCTTCCTAATAAGCCCTGGTACGATCACACCTGAAGCGCTGAAACAGCTAAGCCCTGGTACATACAAGCGCTTCATTTGGAAAAGGTACCGTTAATTATTCTATCTGATAACCACATGTGGAGTACAATTTCCAAGTACTCACTTCAGAACTTCTAACACCAAGACTGTTAAAGCGCGCCCAACTGCAGAGAGCTCGGGCTATTGTATTATTCTATTATCCCTCTACTTTCCTTCTTTGGTCATCACAGCTGACTCCCATGCAAATGAGAAGCTCCTTAAAGCTGCAAATAGTGCTTCAATATTATTTGGACCCAAAGAGGCTGGGGTTCCAATGAGGCGCTGCCTGCCACACGGTTCTCAGAAAGGGTAGAACAGGGCATTTCAGCCTATCTCACCTGGCTTTCCCATCGTGCAAGCCTTGAACTGAATGGCAGTAGATCCTCGCCTATGCTTTCAGCCGATGCTTAAGTCTGTGGGACTCACCAAATGGAACATGGTTACTTACTTACCTTTGAAAACTAGTTACTGTTTTGTGTTATGTGTATGCAGAGCATGTGTGTGCACATGCATGGGAAGCCAGATTTTGACATCAATGCCTTTCTCAGTTACTTTGCGCCCATCTGGGGGCGGGGCTCTCACTTGACCAGGAGCTCATGGATTGGCTAGGCTGGGTGGCCCAAGCAAGAGCTGTGGGGAACCTGCTGTCTGTCCTTCACCACGCAGTGCTATGGTTACAGACCAGTCACAGCTAGCTTTTCACATGGTGCCTGAATTGTGAGCTCAGGTGCTCATGCCCGCAGAGAAGGCACACCTGTGACCCAGCCATTTCCCCAGCCTAATATTAGTATTTTCTTTGCCATATAAATCCAGAAAATGCAAAGCAGATCAGAATCCCTGACTACAGGAGACAAATCCAACAGCCTGCTGCTGTAGTTTCGGCAGCAACAGTGGCTATTCGCTAACCACAATTAATGTGCACACTGTATCAACAGAGATGCTTTGGACTTCAGCCCGGGGTTCAAAACCAGCCTCTGGAATACACTACCATTACCTCTTGTTTAACCCCCTTTTAGACTCACCTAGGCTTGGCTGACTAATATAGGCTTCTCTCAGATCAATCAAGGGGACTTGACTAAGGGAACAGCTTCACAAGACGATAGCCAGAAAGACAGAAAACGTGTAAGACATACTTTCAAATACATGTTCTTCATGTCTGAGGTTACAAAACACAAATGCATCATTTTATGTTCCAGATACTGTTTGATTTGTTCCCTTAGGCCGACAGCTCTATCTGGCCACGTCTGTCACTCTCTGAAGCCACTGCAGTTCTGTCCAGTGACACAAAGCTTGCCTACTGAAGAGGGACGGAGATAGTCTGAGGACACTCGGCAGGTAAGCCCACACTTACTTCTGTCTTGCTTGCTCAGAGCCGCTGGCTACAGGGACTAACACACACACACACACATTCTGGCGCTTTCCTACCAACTTCCCTTCGCTTACTTGTAGAAAACTATACAAAGGACAGTTTAGCAAACAGGTGAAAAACCTTATTTCCAAGCAACAAGAGAGATATGCCAGTCAAAGCACTTAACAGTTACCTACCGCCTTCAGAGTGTTTCTCAAAGGCAGGGGACTACTACTGGCTTAGTTCAGTGTAAAGAACCATTTTGTGGAAGGTAGTCCTTCAAATCTGTTCTGGGCATAGCACACCCTTGGGAAGGCCATAACCACGTATTTTGTCTTTTGAAGTGAGCCTGGCTCTGTCCTCAGTAAGAGCTAGTTCAGAAGCGACCATGATGCCCCGACGGGCTCTGAAGCAAACTGCCAGTACCCTGGATTTCTATTTCTAAAATCTGCTTTCATTTTAAACTTTCTATTGATGAGTACTCTGCTTCTGCGTGCACATCTCATGCCTGAGGAGGTGAGAACGGGCATCAGGTCGCCCAGAACTGTAGTCAGGGGTGGTTGTAGGCGGCCATGTGGGTGCTGGGAGCAAACCTGGGTCCTCTTAGTCAGTGTGTGCTCTTAATCACTGAACCAGCTCCGTCTGGCTTTATTTTTCCATGGCAAAGTTTGTAAATGGGAACACAAGTACTTCTCATGTAATAAAACTAAACCATCTAAAAAGTAAGGTCTTACTTTGTTGTGGAGACGTGAGTTATTCCTTATCCCTTTCAGAAACTTTTAAATGACCCGGGTTGAGAAATAATTACTACATGATTATTCTGGAGCCCCACTGAACATGCAGGAAGACTAGGACCAGGGTTTTATCGATAAATCCTTGTCTCCATTACATATCTACTCCTTGAACCAAATTCAAAGATATGAGTACTTCTTAGGTTCATCAGATGTGGGCTATAAATGGCAAGCATGTCTGAGAGGCTTAGGCAGGAAGCATCAGTACATTCTAGTATAAGACATATCCATATGCTACAAAAGCTTAAGGTCCTATGGTAAATTCGAGATGAGAACAGCAATGCAATACTACATTTTGTCCAGCAGGTGTCTCTCTGGAGTGTTTGACACCAAGCAAGAAGAGGATGGGTTAAGGAAGACCCTACCCTGTGATCCCTGGGCTGACCACTTATAGGGTGGGAGTGGGGATGGGAGGGTGGGTTTTGAGATCAGAACACCACCACAGTTATGCTTCTGAGGAACTGTATGCTTCAATATGAAAATTATTTAATAGCAAGACCTTCATGTGGGGCACGTGCACATGGGCAGGCAGAGGTCAGAGGTCACTGTCAGGTATCTTTCTATCACCCATGGCTATCTATTCATTTATTCTTTCACTCTGGAGACAGACTCTCTTACTGAACTTTGTGCTCAACTGATCTGGTTAGATCAGCTGGCCAGTGTTGTCAGGGAGTCTCCTGTCTCTGCCCCACAGTGCCAGTGATGAAGTGCTTACAGACTGCACGTCTGGCTTTCTCCACAGCGGCTGGATCCAAACCCGGGCCTAGCTTTATGTGATAAGCCCTTCACTGGCTAGCTTAGCCCCCACCACCTGTGCTGTTAAATAGTGAGATCTCACAGCACAAAAGGATGGGCTTTCAAAATGGCAAGCATGAGCCTTTGTTACTGGTCAGGAAAGCAATGTCAAAGCTCAAACAGGAGGACAGCTGAGCAGGGGATGGCGAGCAGAAGAGAAGAGCAGTCAGCTACAACAAGGTGCAAGTTTGCTGCGGAGAATTAAAAAGCTGAAGAGTTGGGTTAGAGGAGTCCCCGTGGCCTCTTAACACTCATCTGTAACAAGTTCCACGGCATCGAATGCTCCTTAGTCTCTGAATGCATGCATTTACACATACACACATACATGCAGGCAAACACTGGTATACATTAAACCATTTTTTAAAATTAAGGCAAATTTTCAGGGGTTTAGGGTAAAAAAAAAAAAAAGGAGTGGAGGAAACACATTCTCAAGGGCAAGGAAAAAGGGCTCTCGGACATAGCACAAAAGTCTCACAAGTCTGCCAGAGGGTAATACCCTGAAGTCACAATCCCCATTAAAGAGAGGAGTGTTATCATGAAACAGACTAGAGGACCAGGTGTGGTGCACACACCTTGCATCTCAGCACTGGGGAAGGCAGAGGCAGGCGGGTCTCTGAGTTTGAGGCCAGCCTGGTCTACAGAGTGAGTTCCAGGACAGCTAGGGTTATGTAGAAAGAATCCATCTCAAAACAACAAAACAAACTAGAAAGCTGACAGGTATAAATGTATGCAGTGCTAACTGGTGTTTCCTCCTGTGGGTCTGAGTATCACAGTCACACTCAGTGTACCTGTGGTGCTGGTAACGGCCATGCTAGCAGCTCCCAGGAGAGCAGCAATCCCACATATAACATCGCACCCAAAACGCAAGCAGGGAACCAGAGCAAAGACCAAGTGACACTGATTACAGGATAAAGCAGGTAACTTACCAAGCCACATCAGAGGGAAGGAAGGTACATCATGAAGGCCATCAGAGAACAACCTACCAGATTGGTCCCTCCCTGAGAAAAGGAATGCTGATGTATTGAAAGAGAGAACCAAGAAGACAGAAAGGCAGGAAACGAGGGAGTCAAGTCCCGAGCATCATCACAGGAGGAGGCGAATCTGAGCACACATGCAGAACCAAAGAGACGCAGGTCAAATGAGGAGGAAGGGTTGTGCTCCCTAAATCCACAGGCGCCATGGGTGTCTCTATCTTCGTTGGCTTGGTGTCAAAGCTTCCAAACTGAAACCAGTTTCACACTCAAAGTTATTATCAATGGGTGCTTGAAGGCAAAAATTGGTATGCCAAGATAAAGTTTCTTGGATCCATTCAGGCCATATCTGAACTTACCAAGGCTGTTCATTCACCCTTGGGACAGAGGGTTGACTTTGTGTGCAGTTTTCTGGTTACGACTAGTTCATTTGGGGCTTAGGTACACTGACAATAACTTAGAAAAGGGCAAACGCACACTGAATCCTGTGTCAGATACTATTCTAAGCACTTATAAAGATCAATGCAAAAAATATACACACAACTAATTTCACTTACCTGGTTGTCAGTGATTCACTGTGTTCTATTAAAAGGGCCCGAGTTGCTGCCATTGTCCCCCCTGCAAAAGATGAAGGACACAATTGTCAGTGAGTGTTCACAAAGGGACACCCACACGTTTTCGGTGGTTGTTAAATAGTATTTCCCAAACTCAGGAGAACCTTAATTTATCATTTCAGGCTATCTTTATTGCATTTGTTAAAAACAACAACAGCAAGACCCATTTTTAAAAAACACCTCTCACTAGTAATAAGGCCTTGAGAAACAAGTATCTGGTGGCTTCAAAGGATAGCACTATGTGACACCATGAATGCGGTTTAGCCAAGGCCTGAGCAGATGACACCTTGCAGCAGCTGGTCCTCTCCTTCCACCAACCAAGCGGGTCTGGGGGATTGAACTCAGGTCCTCATGCTTAGAGGCAAGTGCCTACACTGGTTGAACCATTTTGCCAGCCTTTGACATGCTTCCCTAAGTCACGCTCCCTCTGAAGATCATTTGTAGGCAAACATCTAACTTCTCGCCTCACCCTCTACCCTGTGAAATAACTGCAGCTGGGCAGTTTTAAGAGTTACCTGAAGAGTCAACACACTATAATAGAAAAAGTGTCTTTTGAAAAGGAGTGCTACTGCTTAGGCAAGGTTCCAGTGACATTTACCCTGGGGAGTTTGTGACGAGCGAGGAACCAGAGGTGCCTTCCCCAGGGTTTCTCACATGTCTTAGCCCCTCAGCTGTGCTGGGATGCTGAAGCAAGTCTCACAAATAGGGAAGCTCCTAACAGACTAAAAAGGTCATAATATCCAAGACTCATTTGTAATGAAAAACAGACTGTCAAAAAACCCCAGCAGCTCTGCCTAGTTTGACCAACAGTTCCTGTTCTGTCAGTACACAAGTATATCCTGAGAGCCCAAGTCTTCTGGCAGTTTGGAGCGGAGGACCCATCCTTGGATTGTCTGGGGAGCCTGCGGGAGCCGCCCACGATGACAGCCCTCCTCCTCCCCACTGCCCTTCCCCTGGAGGAGCACACCTCTAGCTCGTATTCCCTCCCCGTCTCTTACCCAAGATGGGCCTTGGGGAAAACACCAGAAAATATCAATCAGACGGGGGCTCAACCATACTTAATCTTTCACCCTGGATGTTGGCCTAAACAGCACAGCCGACACTTGGCCCGCTCTGGTCCTGCTCCCCTCCGCAGTTTTCTCTTTAACCTTCTCTCACTAACCCACAGGCCCCGGAGGAGGACCTGCTCATCTGACTGGCAGTTTACTGCAGGGGCTCGGCAGATCTATTCTTGAATGGATGATGCTGTGGGGCCATTAGAACCCGCTGTACCATCACCCAAACAGGGAAGCCCACGTGGCGTCCCTGACCAAGTGTCAACCTCCCTGTGGTGTTCCGTATGTCAAGAGAGGCAGGAACCAGATGGGCTCTGTCTATATTAATCTCTCAATTTTGTTGTTATTGTTGTTTCCTATACTTCCGTGGCCAAAATAAACCTAAAGCTATTAAAAGAGAAAGAGCACAAAGTTCAGATGATTGAGGAGCAATTCTGCAGTGAGGCCTCTGGCAGAGGTTACTAAGAAACACCATCAACAGAAAGGAAAACACACATTTGGCCAAGGACATCCTCAGCTGGTACAGTGATGGGAAAGACACTCAACAGTCTCAGCTCACTTCAGGGTGCCACCGCAGCTGAGCAGTGTGAGGACTGGAGGAGGCCTTGCTGTCGCCTTCCTCCAATCCCCGGGACACACAGGACCACTGCCAGGACCACTGTGCTTGCCTTCCGCTTGCCCCACAAATCACCAACTAACTGTATGCCTAGTGTTTTAAATGGTTCACAGCTATGGCTACACATTTACATTTCAGTTCTTTTATGTGAGGGGATTAAAAACCAAACTGGTGGAGAGACCCCACCACCCACCCACCCACCCACACCACCCAGTTCTAATTCTTTACCTAGATAATGCGGTTAGAGAGTCAACTGCATTCAAGTAGTGTGCATGTAAAATAGGCCAGGCACAGTTCTAGACATTAGAGACACATATTGAAGACAACATCTGCTCTGGGAGGAGGTAACATTCTAGAAGCGACAATCAACACTGAAGAGAAACATCAAACACACCATGTGACAGTAAGTGTCATTTAGAAACGTATAGAGAAAGTATGAACTGGGAGTGATGTGTTTGAACATGATGGTTAAGGGACACCTTAATAAAGAACTGCCACATGGTCAAGGAAAGGGTTACAAAACAAAGTTGAGCGCATTTTGGGAGAGACATCCCTAGCCATGGCAAGCACCTCACATTAGGGCACTATGAGCCTTTGGCTTTTATTCCAGCAGCATAGCCGAGAGGTCTTCTGGGAAGGCACTGTAAGATCTGGCTGCTGTGTGGACAACATGAGGGCAGGGAGACCAAGTAGAGAGAGCAGTTGCAGGGCTCCTGGGACAGTGAGAGAGAGGTGAAGTCAGCCTTCAGAGTTATGAACAGAGTGAATGGGCATCTAAAGATGGATTCTTCCAGGTATATGGAGGAGATGCTATGGGGTCAACTCTAAGATCCCTTACAACTGATCATAGTGGTCTGGGAATCATCATTGCTATGGTTTATACTTAGCCCCAAAGACCCAGCTCTTCTAGGCCTGCGCTTGAACTACTCCAGCCTAGCACTAGTGGGAGGTGGCAGGATCTCCCTTGTGCACATTTCACTCCAGCCACAACCCCCTCCACAGGCCTAATGCAATGCGACAATTGTCCAAACTTGAACATCCAAAACTGTAGGCCAACATAAACCTATCCTTTTTAAGTTCATAATCTTAGGCATTTTATTTCAGTGAAAGACATAGAACTATGTAGTTGGCTAACACAATTTACTGGGCCATGTTTTTGTTTAAATTACTGCCTTTAGCACAGAAAAGTGGGCTTAAATTCGGTACAGAAATAATCTATGATTATTCCTGACGTTGGAAAAGATCAAACAATAAACAGTTTCTCTGTATAGTTTTGGAGCCTATCCTGGCACTCACTCTGTAGACCAGGTTGGCTTCAAACTCAAGTGAGCCGCCTGCCTCTGCCTCCTGAGTGCTGCAATTAAAGGTGTGCGCCACCAATGCCTGGCAATAAACAGTTCTTATTAAAGCAAAAAGACAAAACATGGAGTATATATGTATTCCTATACTGGTCATTCCCTGTACTAGCATTTTTCACTTATTCTGAAAATAAAAGGCTTTGTCCTACCTAAGGAGAAAGGCCCTTATATTTATATGGCCATGACAGTTGATAAGTTTAAAATATGACTCTCCACAGGAAGGTCTACTGATCTACAGCAGACTAAGGAGAAAGGCCCTTATATTTATATGGCCATGACAGTTGATATGTTTAAACCATGACTCTCCACAGGAAGGTCTACTGATCTACAGCAGACTACACAAACAGGAGCCGCCTCACAGGCCGGCTTCAAGCGTTTGACTGGGCCAGTGTGAGGTCGGTCAAGAGCGACACCTAGCCCATCGTAAAGGAGGCCTTATGCTTCCACACCTGGTAACTGTGATAAGGTGACAGACTGCACAACGGACAAGAATTAAGGAGCCTTTGTATTCTCTGCTCTGAGGATAAATGGGGGTAGGAAGAGGTCATAGCACAGAGCGTCCTAGAAACCAAGGGCTAACAGTCAGTGAGCAGCTTAAGCCCAACAGCCTTGGAGACTGCTGTGTGTCAGGAGTGGAATCCCTGCCCTCCCCTTTCAACAACACCTCAAGCCAGTGTCATCGGCTGGCCTGCTCTTAGCTGCAAGCAAAAGTAACACGCTCAGTATTTAACTCTCAGAAGGAGATGCTGTGTTTACTCCACATCTCTCCAGTGTGCGGAGATAGGCAAGGCCTTCCTGGTGAGCTCCAGGCTGCCATACTGCCCTACAGCAGAGTTCTTTTAGTGCCAATGTATACACAGCTGGGGCAGGGGAGAGCACTCTCTGATCCATGAGGCTCATACGCAAACGACATACCGAGATGTCCAACATTTCATCTTGAAACTACTTCAGCCCATCTTTGACAACTCACAGCATCTACTCCCTTCCTAGTCTGCTTCTAAGGATAGCAGCGCACTGACTAGGAGTCTCAGCAAGTGAGGGTGCTTGCTTGCCAACCCTAACCACCCCACTTTAAGCCCCAGGATCTGCATGGTGGAAGAGAACTCCTGGAAGTTATCCTCTGGCGTATATACACACACCCCAAAATTTTCTTTAAAAGGTTAACATACGTAACATTTTTTCAAGAATCATCTACGTAGATTCAGAGACTATAGGAGCACGCATAGAGCCTGCACATTTTCAAGATGGGGGCTCCACTGCTGAAAAGAGGAAGTGGACACTGGTTCCCACCCCTGACCAAGAAGCTCTTGGCAACTAACATCCCCATGCAAAGGAAAAATTCGTCTTCTCCAATGGAATCTCACTGGGCGTGTTAATCATACTGCAAGGTAGACCCCCTTGTCAGTAATAGCTGAGCAACACAAAATGAACTCAATGATATTTTTTTGTTTCAAATTGGAGCATTTTTTAAATCATTTTTGTCTTTCGCTTGTGTATTTTGTTTGGTTGTGTTTGGACACAGGGTCTCTCTATGTAGTCCTGGCTGTTCTGAAACTGACTACGAAGACCAGGCTGGTTTCGAACTCAAGAGATACTCCTATCACTGTCTCCTAAGTGCTGGGGTTAAAAGGCATTCACCGCTCCTATGGTTTGGTTTCTGCTTCCCCTGCCCCCATCTCTACGAGTGTCTTATTTTTGTTTCTTTTTTAGAGAGAGAGAGGGTGAGGAGTGAGTGGTAGGGAAGACCTACGGTGAGTCTTGGGAGGGAGAATGTGATCAAAAACTGTCTAAAAACAATGTTTTTCTAAAATATCTAAGAGAAGGATCCTCAGGAAATGAGTGAGAAAGGCCCACTATAAAATCCTCAGGTGACTGAAAGATAATGGATAACTAAAAAGAAACAGGCTGACAGTTAAGTTGCGGGCACAAGGCAGAGAACAGACTTGGTCTATGTGGCTTGAATGTAGCTTGAAGT